CCCCACCAATCAATTGCTGCTCATCTGATTTTCTATTTTGTAAAGTACGCATTTTTTTACTTTCTATTTTATTTTCATGGTTTCTCGGTCCATATATTCAAGACATCGGGCTCAGTTTCCCCCTGTCCAGACCGACTTTAAGCCGGTAAATAAAGTATGGATCATAAATGAATTTGCAATTGCCGTCGGTTCAACGATATAGTTAGCTAAATAACTTAATAACCGGAACTGCAACAACAATATTAGTCACTATTAAGCCATAGATTTACCGGAATACTTGTAATATTCGAGTGGAATAGTTCCAGTTTCCTCCCTTAATCCCATTTTCTTTTCAATTTTTTTTTCTTTTCTCATTTCCCACAGAGTCGGTTCACTCTATAACTTTTGGTAGTAACTATTAAATATCTTTATCGCCACTTCTATTAACCCCTTTTTTCACAATAAAAATATAAGGGTTATTTACTTCCCTTCTGAAATTAAGCGGTCCTCGCGCGCATTGTATCRATTGTTTCTAACACAAAATAACTTGGTCCTGTATACATTTTAACGTAGATGATCTAGCTCAGTAGAGTATTTACCGGCACTGGTTGACCCTTGTGATTTTCGCCATACATAGTCTTGGAGACACTTCCTCAGGCGCCATCAATATTGATTTATACACGTGCTTTATTGAAATCATTCAACATTGTGTCTGTTGAAATCCCAAACAAACTCGGGGGCAGTTATCATGTATTTTAACAAAGCTTATATGATAAATATCTCAAGTCGATGGCTAATCAATGACGTTAATCCCCTTAACCCTTTTTCATAGACTCTACAGATGCTATGGTGACCAGTCTAGGGCATGCCAATGGAAAGCTCTTCCTTATATAGACATCGCCCGCTACAATCCTTGGTATCAGGTTTTGCGAATGACCTTGATATAATATATTTTACATTACGATCTGGACCTCAGTTTGGTAGTGACGTACAACCAGATCGCGATCAATACGCCCCTGGGTAACACTAATAGGGCGAGCAATGAGGTCTTTATATGAAGTTGTTCACGTGCGAACACTGAGCGTCTCAACTTATAAATCAAGTACATACATTTATTAATATATTCCAATATATCTCAATCCTAAGTCCTATAATTTGCCTTGTAAAGGATTTACGGGGACTTCATTTATGTTTTCGGTGCYAAGGACGATAAATGGAACGACTAAGATAGGAATACGACTCCTATTAAGCATCCTGGGGCATATCAGTATTGTTATCCAGGAATCAATGACTATTACTGGTTTGCCAAATAAAATGAATTACCGCAGTGGATCCAGACTACCAATAATTAACCAATTAAAGATCATAAACCATTAGATCAATGAAATGGAATTATATTTAAATTATTTTGGAGGTATTAGTTTTAGTAATAAAATTCGCAAATTCATAATTCGAAATTGTTGTCTACATCGTAATATAATACGTGGTAAAACAAAGTCTTAAATTAAAAGAAATTTTGGATACTAATTTGAGTTAATTCACTCAGTTCACCAGCTAGTTTCTATACTGTGTACTCAAACACCAAACTCTGAAGCTAAAGGTCACAAAATGATAATAAAATTCCTTTATAGGGGCTTCTCTCTCATCTTTATTTATTCAGATTYTAAACAACACCAGGTTACCACTCGCAACGTAAACCACCAACAAAGACAATGCGAACCCAGTGTGGAACCTGCCCAACCGGTGACCGCTCGCCTTTTGTTCGCTCAGTCCAAGTTTGGAGATCAGATGAAAAGAAAGAATCACCTAGAACTCACAAGTCTCGTGTCCTGATTTCAAGACTAGGGGTGGTTATTTAGAAAGAAAGACTTAACAACTGAGTGCATYGATACTGAAAGAAGAATTCCTAAACAGGGTAAGGCTTGATAATGCGTTTTTACTACGATAAATGCAGCTCTCAAATGCGTTTCTGGGATGAATGGAAAACACAATAAGATTATCCAAAGAATAAATTCACAAAAGACGGGTAATACTATTTATAAATTTCTAGATGTCCTTTGAATTCAGGTTTTGCTACAAGACTTGGGTAACTCTTAGTTTGAGTTTTCTGAAAGTTGAATTTAGTTATATTTGCCGAACGACAAGATTTTCACAGTTGATTGCACGACCGACAATGGAGAACAGCTCAGAAAATCCTGACGAAATTATCAGAAAGAAAAGAGCAATCGTATGCTTACAATGTTTTCATTAAAATGTCTATCGTGGAAAAAAATTAAAAGATAAATAAAAGGGAAAAAAAAMCCCCTGAATCGTAAAAAAGAACACTAGTAAAAACTAATCCTCTTTGCTCCATTTGTTTCGGCTAGGAATTCGGACAATTAAGTTGGAGTGGGATTTTAGTGTATTATTTATCGCCAATTTCAAAAGGCTTTCAACGTATGTGATAGTTTTCGTCAATTTCTCACGGTAAAACAATTTCTTTTTTGCTAGTAAACTACCTTCTTTATTTTAAAAAGAGCACTTAAGATTAAATAGGGATAAATAGCTGAATACTCGATAGACCTAGTTGATACAGTATACCATCTTATCTGAGTAAACACCATGTGTCTGTAATTATTAATTGCAGTAAAACAAGCAGTGTCATTGCTGTTCCTTATCTTAAGATGAACACGATTTTGGCTTTGATGCTCTTATTCCTGGTTAATGTATCTGCAGCTCCTACACGCAAAGGTAACGTTGACATATCCATTTTGATATCAGAGGTGATTTCTGTAATCTGATTGGCTCTCAATTTAATCACGAATCGCACCATTTTGAGTTTTAAAGTGTACTTCTTTGAAGAGCCAATGAAATTGTGGAAAACATAACATTTGACCAACAACAACAATATACAACAATACAATTTTATTTGGCACCTTATACTAATAGTACATGAGTGTTTGATTCCAAATATATTATAGGTATATATATATACTATGTATTAGGTAATTTTCTTAATTCATTTTCACGTATCAGCATACATTGATGAATGTATGCTGATATGGCTCTTTGTAGAGACGCTGATTTCGAATTGATTAAGAACATAAAACGACTGTCAGCGCTCATATTGTTGAAATTAATGCTGGTGTTTTTTTCTATGAAAATCAGACCAATCAGAKCACAGAGCYCCCCCCCCCCCCCCCCCCCATGATTTTCAAGGTGAAAGACAGTATTACAGTATTACTTACTAAATTTGACATTAAAATCAGGTAAAAGTCCCAACCCTAACACATTCCCAGGCATTCGCTCAGGGCATGCTCGCTGCATCGCAATCCTAACCAGATGAGTACGTTATATCATAATGATGGGATAATAATGGCTTACAATAGTACGCGATCCTTACTAAGTAAAGAAATTCTGCGCTATATTCCTTCCTATAATGAAGTTTTGCTTGTTATTGAAGCTGAATGCCAGGACCAGTACAGACACTGTGCAGAATGGAGTAAAGCCGGGTATTGTGCTAAGACAGGATACAAGACGTACATGACGCTTATGTGCGCATATTCCTGTAATGCTTGCAAAGGTAAGCCATATACTCCTTGTCATGACTTCAATGTAAAACAATTGCTTAGCATTATGTATTTATTAGAAAGGTGATAAATAACATGCCAAACACCTGACACAACAGTAAGTTGGTGAATAAAGTTTTAATCTTATTAAAGCTTTTTTTTTTTTCATGCCACCATTTTACATCGAATAATACTATTACAAAAGCGATCATAGCAAATTGACCGAGTGGGAAAAAAGACAAAGAACGGATCTGCAGCTGCGTCACGTTTCTGATCAATTTTTTTGGCTGAGCACAGGCAGCCCAAACAAGGTTCCTGTGTATCGGTTATAAGGGAATGTATGGGAGTTATGATAAAGGTATGACAATAAAATGTTTCACTCAACAATTTGCCTCAAAACTTGCTGTAGTTGTTGCTGGGCTTAACTTGACGTCATTTCCTGTCTCGTGCGGAATGTTAATCAGAAGAATCACAGGTTTTCAAAAGAACCGTTTTTTGATTGACAGCACATGGTGATCAGTGTTTGACCACCATTTGAAGCAGATAATTAGATTCAAACACTTTTAGGAATAGAAGCTGATTGAAACCCATCAATAGTGGCATATGCTTTGTTATTCTATAAGACCTACTCCATCAGTAGTCCGTGCCAAGTATGAACTGTATGTCACTGAACCTATTTTAAAGCATCTTTACATTCCTTTCTTCATATTTCATCAGATCTAAAACAAAGAAAAGAATCAGAAGGAGAAGATGTTGCCTCCGCTTCAGGTTTGCAAGATGCTCAACTTGACAACCCTACAGCTATCCAAGAAACAAACGAGAGAGACGAAGACGAAGCATCAGCAAACGAGCCAATAAGTGGCGAAGGCGAGATACATGGGGATAGTGACGTCAACGAAAACAAGGGGAAAATCAATCAAGTCGACAAGCTACAAAACGAGGAGAGCGAAGATGCAGCTCTTGAATCTCAAAATAAAGTGAAGCACTCAACAGAAAGAAAAGAAAGGCAAAGCATTTCTGAAGATAATAAAGACAATCAAGATTTAACGAGTAAGCAGACACAAGATAGAAATGTAGCAGCAACACAAGATCGAGATCCACCAGGAGTTCATTTGCTTAAGTTCCAGGACAAAAACGTTAATGATGACGTTAACCCGAGATCAAAAATCTCCACTCGACCAAAAGAAAAACCTTCCGTTAACTACAAGCCTCTTAAAGAAACCAAAGTACAAAATAAAGAAATAACTGAGAAACAAGACGAAGATGTTTCAGCTTCAGGTAGTAGTACATTGGACGCGAGTGGCGAAGGGGATGCAAGTGAAACCTCAAATCCAAGAGCTTCTGACAAAACCACTGAAACAAAAACTACACCAGAAGAATTCGAGGAAATGAAGGACATCGCTGGTGACATTAAAACCGGTTCTAAAATTTTCGAGGCGGATATTTCAGAGCCTGACAGTACTTCTGGTTGTTCATCAGGGTTTGGCTGCTTCTCTGGAAACGGAGAAGAGATTCAGACGGAAAAAACCGAGGAAGCTGTGGAACTAGAACCGAGATCAAAGATAGCTATGGCACCTCAAGTTATGGACGCCAAAAAGCAACAAGCCGATAAGAATGTCGAAACAGTACAGACGTCGATCGTGAGGGAGAGTGCTTCTGGCTCTGACACTGTGGTACAGGATGATATTCAGAACAATGGCGAAGATGAAGCTCCTAAAAGTGATGATATTGCTGGTGCTAAATCAGTAGCCAATTCCAATCCAAAGATAACCACTAAAGGATCAGAAAAGTCTGAGGAAAACCTAAAGGCAACTAAAAGTGTCGAGGAAGATGAAAAGATATCATCTGAGAAAGCCTCCTCCGGCTCCGGGACAGATGTAAATGATGACATTCAAGGCCAAAGTGTACATGGTGATAATGATAACGATGAAAAAATTGACGGTGGGAAACCAGAAGCTAACAGTGATGCGTTATCTGGTTCCGGTGCGGACACAACTTTGAAATCAGAGTCCCCAAAAGAAGACGAAAATGCAGCTAAAAGCGACGAGGCAAGTAAAATAGTAAACGAACAAAAAGAAAGTATACAAAGAACGACWGCAAAATCTGAGCCAGTGGACGATGATAAAGATGTGGCTAAGAGCAATGCGAAAAGTGTAGAAATGAATGGGCAGATGAAAAATGCAGCTGCAAAATCCATATCAGTTCAGACTCAAAGTGCGGCTAAAATCGATGATGACATTGAAGGCTTGAACACAGAAAAAGAAGTTATGAAAGACAAAAATGATAAAGTACAACCTACAAATGAAAGTGAAACAAAAAGTGATAAGGGGAATAAAGAAGCTGAAAAACAGCAACAAGAAGACAAGATAGCCAAATCAGAACCTACAAATGAAGASCAAAGCGCAACAAAAAATGATGCGAACAGTGAAGAGGTAGAAGGACAAAAAGATGTCAAAGATACAGCAGAAACTAAACCAGATGAAARCCGAAAAGACGATAAAGAAAACAAAGAAACGCACGGACAAAAAGACGTGAAAGAGGCAGTTGCACCAAATGACAGCCAAAGTGGAAAGGAAAGTGAAGAACCCGAAGGAAACAATGATAGTTYTTCAGGTTCTGCTACAGCGTCAATAGATATTAATCAAAGTATTGACGCTGATACTAACGGGGAACCCGGTATTGATGCGACTAAATCCAAAACCAAAAGCAAAACTGCCAATACGCACCCTACAGACAAAGAGGAAAACGATATGGAAGATGCTCTCTATGAAGATATGAAGAATGAGAATAAAGAATCAGGTTCTGGATCAGGGCAGCCAGAAAGAGATAACAATGAAGATCTTTCATCGCCTACAGCGAGACAAAGAATTACATCGATGGAACAACTGATTAAAGACGATAAACCAAAGGCCGAGAATGCAAAAGATTTCCCAGCAAAGACGAGAGAAAATGTTCCATTAGCAGAAGAAACCCCAAATGACTTCATCAACACTGATCTAGGTAAGAATGCTAAATAAAACTATTTGGTTCATTTTCATTTTCAATAGCATGCCGCTTAGGACATTGTATGATAAGCTTACATCCAACCGCCATGCTCTCTAGGTGCAGCAGTTGGAATCGATATATGTTCTCATTTCGAAGGGAGCAGTCACTATTACTTCAATCCCCACCGCTCATGCATTCCCATGGTTAGTCGCCATCCAGAAGCCCAAAGTGAAAAAAAAAATTGCTACGCACTTTAGTGAGTTTTTGAAAATGTTTCCCCAAAATCAAAATGAATTTGTAGATGGAGTAAAACATTATTGAGAAAACCGATTTCATTTTTAAAAAAACCCCTGCGAAACCGTCTCAAGGCGCGCCTTTTATTGTGGATGTTTTACAGTTACTAGGAAGTGCCAAAATTTCACGAATTTATTTTGAGAAATATCAATGTTTAAACCAACAGGCAAAGGCCAAAAGGTAAGACTCATTCTTGATCAGCATTATTACAAGCCATATTCAAACGAAGATTCGATGGCCTACGAGATGCTTGCGCTGGATCTGAAGAAAGAGGTAAGTAGTGAAGATTATAATCTTCAAAGCAATGCCGGTCTTAATAGCACAGTTTTCTTCTGTGAATGCTATTTTTTTAACCTTTTTATTTATGCTAAGGTTGAACGAGCCGTTGGAAATCAAGCAATCGTATCACAAATATCTTTCAGGTATAATACATTATCAATTGAACTATTCTTCTGCCCAAGGCCACGCCCTACACAATGAATGCTCATTTGACTAAACGCATTGAGTAAAACAGGAAGAAATGAATACTTTTCTGTTGAACCATCCTCATCGCTAATCAACTTGATTGCATTACCTAATACGAATCCCACTCAGTGTAATAGTATCCGTAGTCAAAAACATTAAAATCCACGAGTTGGTAATCATTCTTAACACTAATTTTACATTCTTTATTGCAGTGAAATACGGAAACCTGGAAAGCTGCCGAGATATTCTCGAGTCCTAGCAACGTTTATGCTGCATGGCGACATGAATGCTCTTCATGGGGCGGTTCGAAAAGGATTGGTTGGTGACTTAACGGTGGATAACAAATTCTTCCGATCATCGTGAGCCATGAATTTCCGAGTGTGAACAAATGTTGGCAAAAAATAATAACAACAACAACAAACAAACAAACAAACAAAAAACAAAAACCAAAGCAAGTGCGTTTAGAAGTACTATCGATCGACAGGAAAGGATTTTTTTTCAATTACCGAGCTCTTCACCGTGACCTCGTCATTACATTTTTTGTCACGTGTCCAATATACAATTTTTATTCGCGCTATTCGAGTATAAATAGTCCCCTTCACAGTTCCCTGCGCCAACTCGAAAGGTAGCCGTGCCTTTGCATTGAAGCGAGACGAACGGTGAGCTTACAATGATAGAGGCCATTTTAAAAAACTTGAACAATTATTTTAACATTATTTTGAAGATGGCGCAGGGAGCTGTGAAGGGGACTATTGTCAAGTTAAAAAAATTGTATGAAAAAAAWWTTTTTTTTAACTGCGAGATAAAACGGAGGAGGGTTGGGGCGAAAAAAAAWATATATACATATATATAACTAATACAGAGAGCACCATTATATAACCTATTTTTCAGTATAGGAAGAAAAAATAACTCATTCGAATTCGAAATCCAGAGTTCAAATTATTGTTAGAATTTATACAAAAATTGTTGTTAGAATTTAGTTTTAGAAAATAGTCGTTATATAAATATACACACAAGTGTACTGAGCGCTGAGAGTATATAGTAGAATTAAAAGGTTAATTTTTGTGTTCTCGTTTCCTTTCATTTGGCTTTTTTGTCACTCACTAGTCAATTTAAGAGTGCGAACTTGTTTCTGACAATGTCTTCTATGGTTCACGTTATGCAATTGCCAAGTCTTTGGAAAATAAATACTGAGTGCACACACATGCTTCTGAAACTATAAAACGTCACTTAGAGTTGCATCTCGGATTGATTATCCACTTGGTAAGCTGTTACCCCCCCCTTTTTCATACATCTGCTCGTGTCCGTTTTTCGACATCAACTAGGAACGACAAAGCTGTTATTTTTTAAACGTTTTAATTTTAGAGTTATTTTAAATGACAAACTTATCTGTGTTGATAAAAATGGAAAGTGCGCGTGACGTGCTTTATTATTTATTTTATCTTGTTTTAATTTTATTAGTCGTTTTAAGAAAGACCCTTGCAAAATAAGGCGTGTTTTCCACTTGCAACGAAAAAATAACGACATACGCAAGAGTAAAGTCTTTACGTCTTGAAGTCATGTCCACTTGCGTATGCTATTATAACTATGCTTCCGTAGCTAGTGAAATAAGACTCAATATTTTCAAAATACTTAATAAAATGTGCAGTGAGAAAAGTTATTTGAATTTTTAAAAATGGATAACTTATCTGAAAGATTGTACTATTATTAACATCAATATAACATCTGAATGTACAATAGTGTATTTTGTATATTTAGTTTGGAAACTATTTCGGCAATGATCCAGTACAGAAATAAATTACCAAACTTATAAAAGGTCGTAGAAGTAATCCAATCCCTGACCGATTTCCCATATAGATATACTAATTCCCAACTCTTTAGCAAGGTCCAAACGGACTTGGATGGACTAAGAAATGAAATAAGACAAATAGTATTACGCCGTTATAATTAACAAGGAAAACACTTGTTTGCAATGGAAAAATCAAAACAAAAAACAAAAAAGTAAACATGAAACAAAAAATGTTTTTCATACAATATATACAGCAGCAGCAGCAGTAACAACAGCAACAGCAGTAACAGCGACAGCAGCAACTACATCAGTAGCGACAACATCAGTAGCAACAACATTGGTCACAACATCATCAGTACCGACGACAACAAAGACAAAACATATATTCTAGTAACGCAAGAAATAGTAATAAAAGGTTGCACTTTCTCTTTACCTTTAAAGTTGGGTAAAACACGACGTGCCTTGTGCCACCAGCACTGAAACATCGTAAACAAAGAGGAAAAATAAGGAAAGCAAAAACAATTTAAAAAATCAAGCGCTGCTTTGTAGAATGTGTCTTTTTCCCGGCTAAATTAAAAATTTTTTTTTGCACCGCGCTTTTGTATTCCTCATAAAATTATTGCTAGCGGGTAGAAAACACAAAAGTATTTTTTACGAAAAAAACCCAATATAACCTTCGAGCCAGAAGCTCGCCATAAAAAACTTGTAATACGTACGTGTATCTAAACGAGTGTTCAGCAGGTGGTGTTTCCCAGTTTAACTTCTCGTCCTTATATTTTTTGAGTAATTCAATGTATCTAGTAAATTAAATTGTAAAAATTAATTTTAAACTAGTTTGTTGCGCATGAGGTCGGATGTGGGGGGGGGGGGG